CACTCCTTTTGATTGTTGGTAATATACATGTATTACATTTATTCTATGTGATATGTGATATGGAAAACGTGCTAGCACTTGGGTTTAAATGTTGTCATTCACTCCTTTTGATTAATTCTTTTTTGTGATATAAAAACGTATAAACTTTTATTTAAAAAAAGAAGCGTACAAAATAAAATAGATCAGCGTGGAAAGCTTACCAAAGCAAGCATGTGTTTAATTATAATAAGTTGAGACAATCTTAAATAACATGAACATAACAACTTCTACATGTGTGGAAAATATCGAGTGGGAAGTTAAACAATATACAATTAATCATGAATATTTAATACTATTCAATTTTTAAAAAGGATTATCAAATAGGAATGATTTATAAATTGAAACGTTTTTCTTTAAAAAAAAAAGAATACGGGTAAACTGTTCCGTGCATTTTAGAGTCAATAAATGTTTGCTTTTTATTAAGCAAGGATGTCGTGTGTTTTTTTTCCCACATTTTAATTGGCTGAGATATTAAAATTTTTAATCAATTCCAGCTTAATTTTGGCATATTTTGTGGTGCCGTATTATAAGTAGTTTAAGGATATCAAAAATGAAAAACTTATAAATTTGCCTTGTGGAAGTAAAAAAAAAAAAAAAGAAAACAGGAAAAGTAGTTTTTAAATATGAGCTATTAGTGCTCGATGTGTATGACGTTTGTGGAGAAAATGAACAGTATTAACGCTAAAAAGTCCGTTTGACATTACAAAATACGAGTGAAGCAAATACGGATCTCAAAAACAATAGAGGTTGGATCAGTTGTCATTGAGGAGTGAGCATCCCCTTCCGACCAGTCACATCTGTCATGTGCTCATTGTCATGATCGGGAAATAACGGAGAAAATCCATGGAAAACTCACTGTGTAAATAATGGTCTAGCAATCAGGATGAAAAAAGTCAGCCTTTGACTTAATGATACATTGCATTTGTTGACAAACTCATTGAATTAAAAATCGACCATAGAACTTACGAAAGGTCTTTAAAGAAATACGTATAACATGTTCTTCATGAAGACATGCGAGGTTTTTTATTACAGTCGGGGAAAAATATGGTTGGGAATGTCACAAAAAATCTAAATTTCTGCTTTAATTCTGTAAAAAAGAATATTTTCAATCATTTCTCTATAATAGCGATATCTTGATATAAAAATCTGCAGTGCATACAGTTGAAACAAAAAACGAACAAATGCAAATCCTCTTTCTTCTTTTTTCGGACTATTGCTATACGCAAAATATGAAGATCATTTTAATTCAATACAGTACGAGCTTTTTCTTTGAAAACCTGGTAATACCCGACTTCTTTTTCAGAAAACTTGCGCGATATATTTGGCATCAACAAACCAAAAAAATCCAGAATCCTAAAATAATTTGATTGCAGTCTTTAACACAATTTCATCGACAAGGACTTGCGTTTGAGCCTATGACCTTTGTTTTACATTCCCTTTCTTATTTCCTCTATTTTAAAGGGACACTAATATTTATCGATGTTTTATATCAGTTCAAAGACACGAGTGCTGAGATCGATTCTGTTCTATGGGTAACAAGACTTTATATTGCTTCTAAGTGAAAGCTGAAAGGCTTCTTTGTAGTATTAAGTGATCAAAGGCTGCATTTTTTTTTTATTTCATTCGGGCGTGAACCATGCATAAGAAGTATAATAAATTGGATAAATAAAGTATTTTGATTCATATTCATTACACATTTTTATTGGCATTTTATGAATAAAACAATAATCAAAGAGTGGTACAGAATAAAATAAATTTCAGACCATAGTGTATATTGATGATAATTCAATTCTTTTGATTCAATATGGATTTAAAAGAAGAAAGTAATTTACGGACAATTTCAAACTTTTGTACGACTAGTTTACTGGGGATTTGAAAGAAGAGATAAATTTGATTTTTGTTGCCACAAAACTTGTCATGTCTAAATAATTTTTATTGATGAAATGCAAAAATAAAATCAGGCGTATTTAGGCCCTGCTGTGACTTAAACACAACATAAAATCTTACACCGTTTTCTGAAAATATGTTTTTGGTAAAAAATGATAATGCTTGTGAAATCATTTCACTCCTTTTATATGAAATTAAAATCAAATATCTGAAGCAGAATGTTGATTTTTTTTTTTAATTTATAGTTAAACCGGCGCACATAGAGCGTAATAAATGATGAATTTTTTAATGCTCACACGTAAATGATTTCCTGTGGCTTTGATTACGGACCAGTATAAATTGCGATGGTATTTGAAGAGATTGGTCCATGATGATGTAACTGTATATCCATTAACAAAACTAATCACATCCCCAGCAATTCGTTATGCGTGTGTATTGTATTCAGTTCAAGAGTATTGCTTTACGTGTACAGATTGAAAAGGGGGATGAAAATAATTTGCGAATTACTTTTGGCGGTCTTCAAAACATTCCCACTGAGAAAGCAAATTTTGATCAAATACCCTTTATAACATCGTCTCAAGCCACGGCTAGAAGTATGCATTTAGCTTTCTCCTACCGGGATAGGAGAGAATCATACATTTTGGCCGTGATTTGCGACGATGCCGTCATAATGTATTTATAAAGTCTTCAAAGCATTTTTCATTCAGGTGTGCAGCGGGTTCTCTTTCCGAACATACTGATTACGAAAGTAATAAATAATCCAACATGTCATCTAAGATAAGAGAAGCATGTCATTCATATTCTTAAATGTTTGAATCCCTTATAAGACGTTCCCTTTACCCTTTACAAATGTCTAAGGTCTTTGTAACCATGATCAGAAAACCTCAGCATATTTATCTTTAAGAATGCCCAAAGACACAGGAAAATGTCATTTCCCATGACATATCTGACATTGTACAATCTTCATTTGATTGTTTTCATGTGTGTTGGAAATAGAATGGACTCATAATGGCTTAGATATAATTAATATGAGCGATGGAAAGGTTTTGTTTACTTTCTTTACTCCCTTTTCTTCAAAATCTTATATATTACCCTAAGCTTATATTCAACGGCGTTGTCAACCACAGGAAAAATAACCTGGTCACGGAAATTTCGACTAACGAAATCTTTTTATCTTTGCTTAATGCTATTGGAACATAACTGTTAGCACTGCTAGTCCTTTATTTGGATGTATGTACATGTTCTAATTGATCTCTCTTATTACACGAAAACTATTATTCTACCTCATTATATTCTACACGACGCGTTATCTCATTCGTTCTGGCAATCACGTGATCGGGCCATAAAACTTCATATTTCACGTTGTCAGCATGCTTTTCGTCCTATTCCACCTTTCAGATACCTGTACATTTTCCCGTTATAGTTATCGTTCGTACAAAAAAAACTCCCAAGAGAAAAAAACTGGACGTCACACTAGTCTGCTTTACGTCACAAAATTGATGATTAGTGATGTGTCAAAGGGTTTCATTAACTCTACGTAAATGGAAGTTAATTTGAGAGTGGTGCCGAATTTGAAAGTTTATGTTTATGTCACAGTTTATGCTTGTTATGGTATAACAAACAGTACATTGCATGAATGTTCGGAAACGTGAAGATATATTCAGCCAAGAAATATTATATTCCCTTCAGGCGAAACCTTCGGGGAATATGATATTACTTGGCTGAATACTAGTATATCTTCATATATTCCTCGCTATCATTCAATAAATGTATAATAATACATGCTTGAAGCCCTTTCTTCTCTTTACCATAATAAAATGACATCTTTTCTTTGATACCACATTTCTTATTATTGATTTTATTTTCGGCTATATAAAATTGTCCCTATGTTTTGTCATTTATCACGCAAGTTTGTCAAATCTTCTACTTTTTAAAACATTTGTTTCTAAATAGATCATTGGCGTATTTACTACAGAAAATGGGGCAACTGTCTGATAAAAATATTGTTATTTTTTTCTTTGTCATAATTCTAAATTCTAATAGTATCTTTACGATGTCTTTCAATTTTAATTAAGCATTTTCAGATATCATGTGACACATAACATCAGTATTTTTGGTATCCCCAGAAATTTCAATTGACCAGATTGATTGTTATAATTAAACTCTAATTTTCTTCTTTAAATTTATTCAATCCATCCGAAAAGTAATCTTTTTTTTCACAGTTGAAAAGTTCTTTAAAAGAGGTACTAATCTCAGAAAACCCCATGATATTTCCTACTGTTTTCGCAAAGAAATTCTTTTTTAAAGTAAGCATGGTCACTACACTGAGGAGAAAAATTTTTTATTATTAAAACTTAACGAAAACTACACAAAAATTATCCACAAAAGTAACATTTATCAAATTCCATGGCATGCTGATTTGATGAACACTTAAAAAGTTTTCATGCTGGTTAATGCTTCTGAAGTTCTAAGATCATGCTGACTGCGGTTTAATTTTATGGCAAATGCAATTAGTTAGACCATAACGCTAACTTCCAATCTAAATTTTTTTTCCTCGTGCTTATTGTTGCAAAAGAAAATGCGCTTTGATATATATGAACTCTTAATGATAATTGAAAAGCAAAAACTCTAGCAGCTAAGAAACAATGGAATCTTCATCTTGCAATCGTTTTAAAAATAACTCCTTTTATTGATAAAACTTTCATATGCATTCAATATCAAAACCAGGTACTAAACACTAAACGGAAATGGCCTTTTCTCCTGAAATAACTATTTCAATACCGGCTGCTATTTCGATGAATTATTATTAAACAAAGGTCACTATTGAAATGAAAAGAAACTTTAGTTGGTTCGTATAGCAAGTATTAGTTTTTATTGCAGTGTGACTTAGTGTTTCTGTTAGGTCCAGAAAAAGGAAATATTTAGGCATTTCAACTACAATTTCATTGTTCCAAAGAGGTATGCAGGATTACAATTTTTAAATGTATGAAAATAGGTCGAGTGTAATCGTTACCTTATTGTTACCTATGTTGTATCATCTTACCCTATGTCCATTCTTTCCCTTGTTTTTATAGGTGCCCTTTGCAGTAAGTGCTCACCTCCAGAGAACGTGTTTAAGGTGATTTTCTGGCTTGGCTACTGCAACTCCATGATGAACCCCGTGATCTACGGCTTCTCAAGTAAAGAGTTCAAACGTGCCTTTAGAAACATTCTCAGCTGTAAATGCAGAAACTCCGATAGATTTAAGCTAATACAGAGATATTCTTTTTACGACCAGAAAGAACGATCAAACAGCAATTTATCTTGTCAGAATGAGAAATCAAGATCAATTAGAAGTGGCAAAGGAGATGAGCGTCTTAGCGGGGAATTATTGAGGTCTAAGAGCTGCAATACTGAGACAGAGTACTCACCCGTTGGTAAATGTTACCTTGCTGCCAACCCCCCTAGTTTTGATAGTGATTCTGTGTCCCTAAGTGACCATGTTTTGGAAGAATTACGTCAAGAGCAGCGACGATCCCCTGTTGAAAAATGAAGAACAAATACTTTATATACATGTATCTTATATACCTGTACGTCACGATTCAATAATGGAAAAAAAATATGCCAACATCGAAATTTGGGAATTTTTATAAGACGTCATCTTAAAGTTCATACGTAATGATAAAATTTGTCAAGTTTCTCTTATGAAAAATATTAATGCCAGTTTCGAAATTTTGGGAAATTTTATAAGACGTCATCTTAAATTACAAAGGTATTGACAACATTTTGTGAGGTTTCAATCGTCTTTTGCCCGATTACATGCATGTTTATAAATGTTAATTATCAAACTGTGTTTGGATTTTCACAAAATCTTAAGCCACAAAATAAAAAAATCTATGAACAACATGGAAATAACGTATTACGAAAATCTTCTCATTTATCCCATACTTATTTTTATGGCGCTTTACTTTACTCATACAAGTTAGAATATGGGATTATTTTTTTCTTGATTGATTCAAAAATTTTATATATTATATTTGCAAATTCTGAATATTTCTTCTTCCAAAAGTAACTTAATCAATTACAGTTTTATAAGCTTATGAAAAGAAGAACGAAATAAACCTGTACAAGATTAATATTTATCTTTCAAATGCAAATCACCTAATCCCATGAAATACTAATCCAACATGTTCTGACAAATATACATGTATGAACAATAGACTTGGTATCGATTCAACAAACATTTATGATTAGACTAATTATTACAAAAAAATAAATTTATTCAGTACTGTTCTTCATCTCCATATCCTTCATTCAAACGAATTCGTTTGTTAGAATTAAGATTCTGTAAAACCATAAGTGTTGCGTAAAAGAGAACTAATTTTGTGAAATAAAAAGAATGGTGGCGATTGAAAAAAAGTTCCAATAAATGTTATTTTGTATACAAAGGCTGACTGATGTTTTTCATACTAATTGTTAGATCATTATTTAGATACATAGCGGGTTCGATTAAATGTTCAACCAGACTTTTTTCTTTACTCCTCACTAAGATATTTACATATGTGAAGGAAAAACTTCAAGAGTATAGTGCAACAATATATGCGAGAATTGGTGTAAATAAGATGCCCAGGCTTTTTTATGTCACTGACATCTGCTTTTTCAATATAAATAGAACTCGTACATTTGATTACCTTTTCGTTGGTCTTCTGCAAAATTATTTTATTTTAAAGCATTCTGATTGTACACACAAGTACTCGTAAGTTGACATCAAAAAGATGCTTGAGTGTCTGATTGACAAAATGTGTGGTTTTTGGAGACCAGGTCTTCCAACAATCTATTGGAATTTTCATGGGTACTTACTTATTTGGCCCAACTATTTCGTCTTCATATGATGTCCATAATCTTATACATGAAAAGAAGAAAACACTTGATGTGGCCTTCAGCTTGACATTTTGATATATTGACGAAGTATTGTCATTAACAATGGCCATTACCATTCTTATGACCATACGATATATCCCAGTGAGCTTGAGATAACAAAATATACTGAGTCTGATACATGTGTTTCATTCCTGGATTATTTACTTGAAAAAGACGTTAATGGTAATCCAACAACCAAGCTCTATGAACAATATATAAACTTGAAACATGTAGCCTTAACTTTTAAGTCGTCAACTTCCCTTACTTATGCAGGAATGTACCTTCATTACCTGCATACAGAATTTATATCTCTCAGAGGATTCGATATGCAATAGCATGTTCTACGTATTGCTATGTACAATTTCTAAAATGAGGTAAATTATTATATAATATGACAAATACAAACAAAATACAATTTATTACTGAGTCAAATGCTGACTGACGTTTTTCATTCAAATTGTTAGTCCATTATTTACACACTTAATATATAAACGGCGGATCTCATATGGAGACTCCACCACTTGCCGATGGAGAGCTGCAAATTTTGTCGTATACTCGGCACTCAGGACCATTGAGGAGGGAGGGATATTTTTCGTGCCAGCACTTAATTACTGCGACACTTGGTCTCGGTTAATACGGTCTCATCCGAAGAACCAGGCTCCACGTCCCACCGTTGGATTCGAACCCGCGAAGGAAGGATCAACTTCTTACTCCGCAATTCTAGTGCAGACGCTCTAACCACCTGCGCCACGCGAGCGACAGATAATTTTAATATTGATGCTATCACAATCTGGGGGTTACGTTACATCGCTTATATAAATATATATTCATTGTGATATTGATACAGTCACAACTGGAGTTCTTTTTTTTTTTATTTCAGCCCCTGACCTGTCTACTTTCGGCAAAGATTTTCACGACTATGTTATGATGAATTCAAATGACTTCAACAGGTACACTCTGAAAAGCGTAGTACAGTCGTTGAAAAAAAAATTACCATTTTCTTTTTCAATGGGCAATAACAGTTTCCGTCATTTTTCTCCCGCAAAAAGCAGATTCTACACTCTTTTTCATATTTTCCCTTGATGTCTGAAGCGTCCATTTTATGAATAGATGGAATCGACCTACAAAATTATCCTGCCAACTTCTGTGCTGTGCTTTTAAGGATGTAACTGTCATTTGAATTGTGTAAACATCAATCTTTAATTCCAGTCAAGCATGGTGGATGATCCAGGATAAAAGTCTCATTATTTCAACAGATCTTTGATTTCACTGCCCTGCCAAATGAAATTTCAAAGAATAAAGTCGACATTTGGTTCATGATCTGAGTAGGTATTTCGATTTTTTATGTCACACAAATGACACAATCGGGGAATTCATTCCTGCGACTCTATTTCACAATTAAGATATCTACAGAATGATTAAAATTTGCTAAAGATTCATACCAACAAGTATGAAAACGTCAGCATTTGATTTTATGATAGATTGTATTTGCCGACAAAATCATTATACCGAACAGAATAAAATTTAGATTGCTTTAAAAACGATACTGCTGATATTCTTGTTTCTTTAACTTGTTTGTCAATAACTAACCTCATTTTGGAAATTGTCATACGGTGAACATACAAAAAAGGAACTCTCTTTTGTTTATCTATCATTACAGAACAGTTCATTAAAAAAAAACATCATACATCAATACTGTAAAGCACTCTTTATTCACGAGAGCTTTATTTTAGCGTTATAACGCGAGTGCTCGCCAAAATTAAATTTTTAAAGTACCGGGTATTCCTTAAGATTAAATAGAGGAATACACAACTGAAAAGTTTGTCTCGGTGATCAAGACCCAATGACTATTATATCTCGCGAAAACAAGGTGTCGTGAAAATTTAGTGATCTTCAGTATCATCAATTTGTGCTATACATCCATACATGTGCCATATGCCCTAATGATATTTTTACAGACTTGAGTACATAAAATATTTATCAACTGTTTGACAAACATTTTTTTTTATTTGGGATCTGCTAAATAGACAGCCAGGAGAAAAATTAAGAGTTTAACATTCCATTTGTTATCTCTCATTCCATTTGTGACTAGATATATCTGTCAAACAAAAGCGTTTGGTAAACAATAAACAGAATTACATTCACTATTTCTATGAAGGTGATACAATTATTTTTTCAAACACGTCATTATGTTATTGACAGTTTTCCTAAATTGTCAAACTGGACATAGACACAAATAAACTCACAAACAAGCTTAACATTAAATATAACCTACAGGTGAAATAGATAAACTGTTATATTTCCGCCGTCATCTATTTACACCCAGGTAAGGCGCACGAGCATTAATGGATATGCTGAAGCCGTTTACGGAACATTAGAAACACGTTGTAACTACGGCAAATAATTAACTTGAGATGTTTTTTTTTCCTATTGTGAGATCTCGATAAGAACATTTAGAATAAAATTCCATTAAATGAGTAAACACAATGTTCACATTTATTAGATCTCGTGATCTTACGCTAGTTAAAATTCGTGACTTTATCTGCATTTTTATACATTTATATTTTTATACATTTTTATACAGGAAAGCATTTCCAGAACTCCTATTATTTATGTCTGATATGATTTCGTAAAAGGGCATCATTTCGTCTGTCATATTCGTTAACGAACGTTCATTAAAATCAATCAATATTGCGAAGTTTGGATTTTGCCTGTGCTTTAGTCGTTCATTCGATGAATCGTGCTAAAACCTAACAGTGACGATTAAATCCATTTTATATATCAATTTTTTTCTTAAAAATAATAAAATAAAATGTTTAGCTGCTTTGTTTTGCTTTAACAAAACAATCAAAAATAATTTATATGCTTTTTTTCATTGCATACGCAAGTGAGTTAAGGCTAAATATGGATATTTTATGCAAATAAGCTACTGAAAATTTATAATTTGTATATTTTATGTATGAAGAATGGCCTTGATAAAATTGATTTTATGATCAAAAATTACGCGGAATACAGAAAAAATAGTTTAATAATGCAAAATGTTACACATAATATAAAAGAATCTTTATTATATGGTTTTCAAAATTTCATATCAAAATGTTGTAAATTGGTATCAATTTTCATGATTTAAACAAAATCAAGTCACGGAGCAGCAAAATCTATCCTCACTAGGCATTAAAATAAAATGTATAATATTAAAGTGAATATTCTTAAAATTAATAAAATTGCTGTAAAAATCCTGCTTTTTCTCAACATTGATAAAAATTTTGCCAAACTTAAAATCTATTAAAGTAAAGAATTTTTTTTGTTTTAAAACCAAAAACTGCACAAATAGATATAGTGAGATATTGCACTCTCAACATTTGTACAATATCGGATAAAGTTTTCTTGGAATATCCTGCGTCCTTTGATAGCCTTTTGTTTCTGTAAAACAAAGTAAGGTATGCCCTAGTTTTGCGCTTTTAAAGCGATTTTGTTGATGTTTCTCGAGCATAATACATAATTTTACAAAAGTGTGGTGCGCCGTCAATAATATGACGTCATTTTCAATGTTTTCACGGATATCGCATCGGAGAAAAACCACTTTATTTCTGTTAGTACTTCAAATATCATGTCAGAAATCTGAGTACATTATAATAACAGAACAATTTATAGATACATTTGAGAAAATTGTCGAAAAATATCGCGAATTATAGAAAATTAATGAGTTAAATTTTGGATTACGCATGCCTTTGCTTCAGATTTTTTGTCGTGCTCCGTACCTCTCCATCAGCGATATCAACATACTGATAATATTTAATTAATTAGAGTTTTTTGAAAATACAGAAATACAGAAATTTTGCCCAAAATTTATTTTAAATCATATTCTGTGAAATTTATTTTGAAGTGTGAATAATGGCCTTGATAAAACAGTTTTATATGCATTAATAAAAATGTCTTTTCTTTATCTTCACAATGAAAATGATTTGTGATGTTCTTGCCAAACGGTTAAACTTGACAAATAACATTTTTTAAAAAGCTTTTTGGGGTCGTTGTTTGCTCTGCTAACGATTTGTAATGTTTCAATGTACATTAAGCCAAAATATTGTTACTTATCGCCATATTCTAGTCCACTTGGAAATGACAAATGTGAAATATATATTCTCATTGTCTGATTTTCGATGATCCCCACGTGTAATAATCATCTCAACATTTAACATAATGCTTTTTGTCAAAGCTTTGCGTCGAAGAACGATATCATAAAACTTTGACATATAACGCATATGTGTTGCATGTCATCTTTTGTTTTGTTTGGGTTTTGTTTTGTTTTTCATTTTACAACCATTGTATAATGATACATTAATACATTTCTTGCCAGTCGGATTCACATGCTTTGAAATCCTGCATTTACTTCCAATCGCCTGTTTATTTTTAACTTTGACTTATCGTAGATACGTTTGTAACTTACTTTTTTCCTCCAGCAACCATTACATGATAATTGTTTGAAGCATATTCGGTCGAATTCCCCGGACGTATTTTCATAAAACATCCATCAAATGCCAAATACCCCATTAACCTACACCTGATGTTGATAAAATGTTAACA